GGGCGGCGGCGCGGAGGGGCCGGTCACCCCGCAGCCCGGCCTCGGCCTCCGCTCGTCGCCGCCCCGCCCGCGCGCACGTCCCCCCGGCGGCCACCATGAGCACAGGCCTGCGGTACAAGAGCAAGCTGGCGACCCCAGGTGAGCCCGGCGCCCGCCCGCGCGCGCGCGCGCACTCCTTTGCCCCCGCCGCCCGCACGCCTCTCACCGTGTGTCTCGGTCTTTCCCCCGCCCGCCGGCCCGGGCCCGGACCCCGACCCGACCCCCGACCCCACCCGACCCCGCAGAGGACAAGCAGGTACGTGTGCGCCGTCGCTCACCCGGCCCGCTGTCACCCATTGTGGCACCAACGCGCGGCGCCCCAACGCGACCCCGCCCCCGCCGGCCGTCATCCCGCTCTGTCGCGATAACCGATGACCGATTGTCAGCCTGGGCAGTGCCGCCAACCCGGGGCTGCAGAGGGGAGGAGCGGCCGCAGTGCCTCCGGGCCTGGCTCCTGACCCTCGAGGCATGGCGTGCGCTCCTCCCCGGATGGGGGATGGGCCGAGTGCCCCTCTCCCACTGCTCCAGCACCAGCCTCTCTTTGCTGACCTGGCCCGTGGCCGTGTGCTGGGGTCCTGTGTGAGGCCGTGGTCATGAAAGGCCACGGGCTGGGGGAGGGGTTTGAGTCCACCAGCCAGGGCCAGTCCCTGAGCAGCCCCACAGGGGAACCTCTGGCCACCCCACCCAACTTCTCTGCATCTTATGCCTCCTCTCCACACACACCAATGTGAGTGGGCTGATCCGTGGCCAGGCCTCTTCCCCAGACTGGGAGTCTCCAGGGCCTGGTCTGAGTCATCCCAGTGCCCAGCACCAGTCTTCAGATTTAGGGGGTACAAACTGATTTCTCAAAGGGCCGGCCTGGACCCCAGCCTCCAGGAATAGAGGGTCGGACAGGAGGCTGGCCTGGGCACTCGCTGTGAACCTAGCTGAGGTCAGGTTTAAACAGCTAGGAGACCCCAAGAGGGTGTGGGGGCGGTGGGTAACCGGGGGGAACTGGGGGTTCTGGGGCAGCCCTGCTGGGGGCCTCTCTGGCTTGAGCTCAGCCATGTTTAGGGCAGAAAAGAAGAGCCCAACTCTGGCATCAGGGTGGCCTTGGCAACCCTCGTCTGAGATGGGGGCTCACGCCCTGGGTGGATGCTGGGTGGAACCCGAAGTCTTGGCCTAGGTGCGGCAGGCGGGCCAGGAGTGGCCCAGCAGGTGGGGTGGGGGCTGGGAGTCACTCCTGCCCAGTGCCAGGCCCCTAGCAGGGATACGCCCCACCCTGGGACGGGTGAGGCTCACAGGGAGGGGCCACGACCACCTCATCCTGCCAGCAAGGGGCTCCCCAGGGAGCCCAGGACAAGAGCTGCCTCCCCATCATGGTGGGTCAAACAATGAAGGAGATGCAGGGACACACTGCCACCAAGCTATTGTTCAAGGGAGAGAAAGAGGGAAGGCCTGGGAGACCAGCCCCCCCTTCTCCTGGGCCTGCGGGCACTCAGGGACCCCCCTGCTGAGGCTCGAGCCCCTTCAGGCCTGTCTATCCCTCCTGGAGCTCAGCTAGGACCAGCCTTACCTGTCCCCTGCTCCCAGGACCAGAGAGAGAGAGCATTATGCGGGTGGGGTGTGGGGTTCCCTGGGAGCAGGGCCAGGGAGCCCGGTGTTTGGAGAAGGCTCCCTGTGGGTCTGGGGGAGCCGGAAGCCTGCAGTAACTTTGCTGTTCCATTGTTGGTGTTACTGAGACTCAGCCTGTCTGCACTCTGGGAAAGGGGGCAGGGGAGCTCTGTGGGCCCCCTCTGTGCCCACCCATCTCAGACACTGGGGAGGGCTCTGGTGGTCCTCTGTGCTCCCTCCCCCAACTCCCACCCCATCTCTAGCAGTGGTGGGGCCTTCACTGGCTCTGGCAGCTGGGGTGATTCTAAGAATGGAAATGCCTCGAGAGTGTCAGGCACCAGGAGGAGGTGGGGAGGAGGTGGGCGCAGCAGTGTCTGTGGCTCGGGAAGTCCTAAGGAGTATTTGTTGTGCCTTGGGGGCCAGAGAAAGGGAGTGGAAGGGCCCCTTCCTTGGGGATCCCCCAGGGAATCCCCAGGCCCCATCTGGACGAAGTCAGGGGACGGGCCAGGCAGGCAGGGAGCTGGTCTTGTCCCCCTGACCCGGACCTCCACTGAGGCTGTGCCTTACCGATGGGGAAACTGAGGCCTTCTGGGGGCAACGAGCCCATCAGGCACCAGGCTGTGGGGTGCTAGTTCTGTCTGTCCTCCTGGAGATGCCCTGGGCCCGAGATGTCAGCCTGTCTGGGCAGGAACTGGGCCGAGGGGCCATGTCTAAATTGGAACCAGGGGTGGAGGCTGGGTGGGACTCAGCCCCAAGGCCCCTCACAGGTCCGCGTGGTGGAGGGCTGGGGCCAGCGCAGAGGCTTTCTCAGAGCCAGGGCTGGGGGCGGGCTGGGGAGCTGGGGCCTGTGGCTCCCCCCCCTCCTCTTGGATGAAAGGCTCCCCTGTTCCCAGCAGTGGGCCCACCCCTCCTCCCCAGGTGCCAGCGGCCTCCAGGCCACACAGCAGCAGCATGAGCTTAGACAGGGGGACAGAGGCCCCCTTAAGCGGGGAGCCAAGAAGGGAGGGCCTAGGTGGGGGAGAACTGTGAGGCCTCCCGTTCCCATTGACGCACAGTCCAGGGACACATCTCTTTGGATCCCCAGCTCCTTTGCAGGCCTCCCTTGCCACCTGTCTGGTGCTGGCTTTTTCAGATTCTGGTGGGTCCTGCGGGTAGGGTCAGTGAGGAAGGGTTTGGGGGCTCAGGAGACCCCTGTGGTCCCTGGAGTGGTCGCACAGGTGTGAGGGCTGAGCTGGCTGGAGCCCTACAGGCCCTGTATTGCCCAGTCCTGTAAGTGAGAGCAGGGTGGAAGCTCAGAGGGAGTGTCCCCCTTAGGGGGAAGGGTTCACTCCAACACCCCCCTACCTCTGCTGGCAGCGGCTGTCTGGGGGCAGAGGTGGCAGCGCAGGGCTGGCCGGCGGGTTTGTGGAGCTACGCACTGGCCACAGCTTCCAACTTTGCAGAGGTCGGGGTAGGGGTTGGGCATCTAGTGCTCTGATCGCTCCCTTCCCCCAACGTAAGGCTCCGCAGGCCTGGGTGGGGAGGTGGGCTCTGCCCTCGCAGGTTCCCAACTTCTCTCGGCGGCCACGGCGGTAAGAATTTTCCAGACACACGCGCACACACGCGAGGGGCGGGCCATGCGTCGGTGGGTAGCTGGGGGCGCCTCTGTGACACCGTCGCGGCAGAGTAGGGGGACCGGGCGGGCTCCCGCGGGCGCGCGCGTGGATGGGGGCGTACTCGGGCGCCCTCTGGCAGGCGGGACGCGGCAGCGCAGACCCGGCCGTGGACCCGGTCCCCCGCCCACCCGGCTGTGCAGTCGCTGGACTGACGGCCTGAGCCGCGCGCTCCGCGCGCAGCCGCCCGCCAAACCGCCGAGCTGGGCCCTGCCCTCCTCAGCTCCGTGGCTCCGCCCGCGCGGCCCAATTTCCAGGCGACTGTCTCCCGGAGACCGCGCGCTCCTCTCCGGCGCGAGGGCCCGCCTGTGCCAGGGGCAGGCCCGCCTGGGGCCGGCGAGAGGCTTGGTGGCCTCGGGGTCCCGGCATCGCGTGAGCGCCGCCCCTCCAGGCTTCGGTTCCCGCGTCCGTAACCCGGGGGCGAGAACAGGGCCTCGGGGCCGCACAGAGCGCGAGCCCCTGGCGCACAGCTACGCCGGGTGGGCCTGACGCACTCTGGGCCCCAGCGCAGCGGGCAAGGTCCCGGGGTCGCTGCGATGGACTCGCTGGCGGCACCCCAGGACCGCCTGGTGGAGCAGCTGCTGTCGCCGCGGACCCAGGCCCAGAGGCGGCTCAAGGTGTGTGTGGAGAGGGGAGCGGAAGGTGGGTCAGCTGTGCGCCCGTCCCCCGCGCACGGACTGGGGATGCGACGGGAGCTGCAGGGCCGGGGTCCTGGGGTGGGCGCCGGAGGCCGCGGGAGGCTGGGCGCCGCTGTCTATAAATAGCCCCTGCTCCGCCGTCGCCGCAGCCAGCCACCCCCGCGGCTGGATTGGGGCCAGACGGGGCCTCCCACCCCTTACACTCGGGAGGGGTGAGTATTGAGGTGGGGGCTTCTCCAGCCTCTGAGGGCCTTGGGCGTGTCTGAGGGGTCTGGATCCTGGTGCCCTCTGCCCACCACCCAAGGGGGGACACCGCCTTGCCCGCTGTGCCTGCCACCCCCCTCCACACGCACGCGGATTCCATCTCGGTCCCTGCGAAGCTCTCACAGGCGCCTCCACCCTCCACCCCCACCTGCCTTCCACCTCCAGGGCCTTTGCCCACAGGCCCTCACCCACTTCTGCCATTGAGATGCCCCCTCCCTGGGGACCCTGCCCTGCTGCCCCCTGGCCTGAGCTGGATAGGGGCCAAGGCACCGGGCTGCCCCAGGAACCCCAGCGTGCCCCTGACCCGCCCGCCCCCGCCAGGACATCGACAAGCAGTACGTGGGCTTCGCCACACTGCCCAGTCAGGTGCACCGCAAGTCTGTGAAGAAGGGCTTCGACTTCACGCTCATGGTGGCGGGTGAGTGGGCCGGCCTCCAGGGCCCGGGGTGGGGCACTGGCAGCCAGGCTCTGTCTGGGGCCTGGGACCTGACGCGACTTCCTCACTGCACCTGTGGGCAGGGGAGTCGGGCCTGGGGAAGTCCACACTGGTCCACAGCCTCTTCCTGACTGACTTGTACAAGGAACGGAAGCTGCTCAGTGCTGAGGGTGAGTGGGCCCCACGCGGCCCTGGCGCTGCCACTATCCCCTGCTGGGTGACCTCTCCAAGGGCTCCTTCCAGGTCCAGCCCTGCTCCTCTGTCCCCGAAGCACAGGTCTCTGGTTCAGGGTCCAGATCACCGCCGGGCCACGTAGCCAGGGATGAGAACAAGGGTCTGGGCTGCCCGGGGTGGGAGTGAGGGTCACAGAGCCTGTTCCAAACCATCCCCCCACCCGCCTTGCCACAGAGCGCATCAGCCAGACGGTCGAGATCCTGAAGCACACGGTGGACATTGAGGAGAAGGGGGTCAAGCTGAAGCTCACCATTGTGGACACACCAGGCTTCGGGGACGCCGTCAACAACTCTGAGTGGTGAGGAAGGCCTGCCCGGTCTGCCCTGGCCCCTGGCCACCAGCCGGCAGCCTGGCCTCATGTGCCCCCTGCCCCCAGCTGGAAGCCCATCACCGACTACGTGGACCAGCAGTTTGAGCAGTATTTCCGGGACGAGAGCGGCCTCAACCGCAAGAACATCCAGGACAACCGTGTGCACTGCTGCTTGTACTTCATTTCCCCTTTTGGGCACGGGTAGGTGGCTACCCCGGGCCGGGGCGTGGGTCCTGCCATCCCCGCGGCGTCCCCTCCCCCCACCCCCCCCCCACGAGCCCCGCGCCCCGGCTGCTCTCCACAGGCTGCGGCCAGTGGACGTGGGCTTCATGAAAGCCCTGCACGAGAAGGTGAACATCGTGCCCCTCATTGCCAAAGCCGACTGTCTCGTCCCCGGTGAGATCCGGAAGCTGAAGGAGCGGGTAAGCCTGTGCGGCCGTGGGGCGCAGCCGGGACTCTGGTGGGGCCAAGGGCACCAGCCCCTCACTTGATGGCCCTTGCCTGCCGCAGATCCGGGAGGAGATCGACAAGTTTGGGATCCACGTTTACCAGTTTCCTGAGTGTGACTCGGACGAGGACGAGGACTTTAAGCAGCAGGACCGGGAACTGAAGGTGAGGCTGCAGCACTGGGGGTAAGGGACCCAGAGGCCACTTTACACCAGGTCAGGAGGAGGGCCAGGGCCCAGGTCTGACCTGGGGGGCAGGAGTCTTTCGTCCAGGCCGTAGAGTCTTCACCTGGGGCTGGGGCTAGGGCGGCCCAGGTCCCCCGCTGGCTTGTGTAGTTCGGTCCCCATGTAGTTCATAGGTCATGGAATGCTTGCCAGGATCTAAAGGCACAGCCACTGGCCAGGCCCCCACCCTGGCCCTTCTCTCAGCCCCCTTGCCATGCTTCACCCACAGAAGGGCCTAGTCCAATGGCCCCAGGCCTGTGCATGTCCTGGCTCCCAGAATTCTGAGCTCTGGGGGGAGGGGGGTGGCTTTGAGTGCCCCAGGGGTTAGAGTGGTGATGGCAAGCCCAAGCTGGGGACAGGTAGCCACCGAGCCAGGAGCAGGGTGGACCTTTCACCCCGAAGTCAGCAGGGGTATCACTAACAGGAGGCATGGGCTCTGCCCTGGGAAAGGAATGGGGAGGCACTAGATGGAGTGGCTGTTGGTGGTGGGGGCATCAGGAGGGGTGTACATCTGATGGGCACGGCCCAGCAAAAGCCCTAAGGTGTAAGCTGCACCAGTTCTGGCTTCAGCTGGCAAGAGAGGCCAGAGGTGGGGACAACAGGGTCTCTTTGGGGAGAGGTTGTTGATGGTCATTCTGGAGGGGCAGACCAGGTGCTTAGTGCCCATGCCCCTCTCCCACCACTGACCCCACACCCATGCTAACTGGGAGTGAGCCCTTGCACCTGCCCCCCCAGGAGAGCGCACCCTTCGCTGTTATCGGCAGCAACACGGTGGTGGAGGCCAAGGGGCAGCGGGTCCGGGGGCGTCTGTACCCCTGGGGGATCGTGGAGGGTGAGTCGAGGCCTGGGGCACAGCATTTGGGTGGGAAGGCTCCCCTGGGCCGGCGCCTCACCCACCGCCCGCCCCTGCCCACAGTGGAGAACCAGGCACACTGCGACTTCGTGAAGCTTCGCAACATGCTCATCCGTACACACATGCATGACCTCAAGGACGTGACGTGCGACGTGCACTACGAGAACTACCGAGCGCACTGCATCCAGCAGATGACCAGGTGCGTGACCCACCCGCCCTCGGACCTGCCCTGACCCCCACCCAGAGGTGTGGGAGCCACAGGGTATCGAGGGTCAGCCCAACCCCCAGCAGCTTATCCCTGGTGTCCACCCTGCAGCAAACTGACGCAGGACAGCCGCATGGAGAGCCCCATCCCCATCCTGCCACTGCCAACCCCCGATGCTGAGACGGAGAAGCTCATCAGGATGAAGGATGAGGAGGTTGGTAGGCAGCAGGGGAGGAACAGGGGCTGGGGGTGGGGACAGGGCCAGGCCCGTCCCATCGCACTTCTCACCCCACCCTTCGTTGTTCCTGCCCCGCCCCCCTAGCTAAGGCGCATGCAGGAGATGCTGCAGAAAATGAAGCAGCAAATGCAGGACCAGTGACCCCACCAGCCCCTCTTTTCCACGGATATACTGCCAGTTTACAGGCTGGCCCTTCCCACCCCTGGACCCCGACTGGCCTGGACTCGACACCGGATTCGTCTGGATCGCTAACAGGCCTGGACACAACCCCAATTCCAGAGTGGCCCAGACCTGGACTCTTCCCTACTGTTCCTGAACTGACCCAGAGACGCGGGGTCGCAGCCCCCAGCCAGCCCTAATTTATTCTCAGCATCAGCCCCTCCCCTCATTTGTATCTGCTTCCAAGGGGCCTGGACAATGGCCCCCACAACCAGCCCTCTCTGGCCTTGGGGGAGCAGGAGCTAAGTTGGGCGGTGACTTCTGAGATCTCCCCCCAACCCAGAAGGTCACAGCACTTAGATTCCAGGCCCTACTCAGATGGGCGGGTAAACCAAGGCAGAATAGGGGAGCAGGTCCGCAGGATCCTGCCCAGTGCTGCAGAGTGAACTTGGGAGCCCTCACTTTGTGCTGAGGTGGGCCAGGTCCTTCTTACCTCCTCACCCACTCACCAGGTAGCTCAGCGGGCAGGTTGGACAGCCGAAGCGATTAGGATCCCTCCAGACCTTAGGAGGCCAGCTGGCTGCTGGGGAGGAATAATGGGGCTGGGATGCTTGTAAATGCCTACGCCCCTCCCCCACGGCCATGGTCCGGCTTCAGGAGCAGTGGGTGGTGGGCAAACTAGCAGCCCCCATCCCTGGACCACCCTTCCCTGTTGGTCGCTGGAGACCTGTTCCCTGCAGCAGCACTGTTGCCCCGGGTTCCTGAGCCCTTGGTCCCCCATCCCTCCACCCGCATGATCCCTGCCCCCAAGCCCCATTCTCCAGTTTGTTCAGTTGTGAATGCTGCGTCCTGTCCTGGTGACAGGAGAACAATGTTGGTGAACGTCGAAGAGGGTGTCCGAGTGCTCCGTGCGCCCCTGGGAGCGAGTGGGGCGGAAGCCTGGTCAGCCAGCAGCCTGGCGATAGCGCTCTATCTGCGCTGTCGGCTTGGCCTACTGGTTATTTGCGACGGGGCTGTGGTCGGTTCGGCGGGTGCGCCGGGGACTGGCAGGGGCGGGGCGGCTTTATCGCCCGGTTCTGCGGCTGCTGCCTGGCGCTCCAGAGCTAGCTGGACCGCTGTCCTCTCGCCATGGGCTCCGGTGAGTCTGGGGTCTTCCCCGGGCCAGGCCGCTCCCCGAGTAGAGTCCGGTGGGGAGGTGCTCTGTCCTCTGGGCTGTAGTCAGGAGAGGTTTGGGTCAGACTTAGAGGGCACTTCCAGCCGGCGTGCCGGGCTGTCGGGGTGGAGAGGCTCGCGGGTGATGGGGGGCACGCGGGTGCCCCGGGACCCCGCCCAGGAGCCCCAAGGGCCGGGCTCACCGCAGCGCTTCCCTTCCAGGGCCGCGCGGGGCGCTGAGCCTAATGCTTCTGCTGCTTGCGCCGCCGGGCCGCTCGGCCGCTGGCTGCCCGGCCCCGTGTCGCTGCGCGGGGACGCGCGTGGACTGCGGGCGCCGCGGGCTGACGTGGGCTTCGCTGCCGGCCGCCTTCCCGCCGGATACGACCGACCTGGTGCTGACGGGCAACAACCTGACGGCGTTGCCACCAGGGCTGCTGGACGCGCTGCCGGTGCTGCGTGCCGTGCACCTGGGCGCCAACCCCTGGCGCTGCGACTGCCACCTGGTGCCGCTGCGCGCCTGGCTGGCAGGCCGGCTGGAGCGCGAGCCCTACCGCGACCTGCGCTGCGCCGCGCCCCCCGCGCTACGGGGCCGCCTGCTGTCCTACCTGGCGGAGGAGGAGCTGCGCGCCGCCTGCCCGCCTGGCGCGCTCTGCCGCGGGGCGCTAGCCGCGCAGCTCCTGCTACTCTGCCTTGGGCTGCTGCACGCGCTGCTGCTGGCGCTGCTGCTGTGCCGCCTGCGGAGGCTGCGCGCCCGCGCCGCGCACCGGTGGCCGCTGATTACCCCGCTGGCGGCGGAGCCCGCGACCCCCGAGCCGAGCGACTGGCGCTGAGCCATGCGGCCGGCCCACTGACGGCCCCCCGCTCCGGCCGCATCCTCCGCCCACACGATCTCCCAGACGCTCCCCCTACCGCGGCCGCGCGCAGGGGCTCCACTGCTGCGCACGCACCGCTGGCGACACGCACGCACCCCCTGGACCCGGATGCCGAAGCGGGCCCGGGGCGAGCCGCTGCCCAGACCAGTCGAGCCCCCCACGCCATCTCCAGTGCGAATAAACCCTGCTCTCCATCCGACCGATCTCTGCACCGTGCGACTCGGAATCCCCCACTCAAACCCAGAAAGAGCTCTGGGGATGATTCAAGGGGACATATCGCATGTTCATACACCCAAAATCACCTTCTGGCGCGTGCGCAAGGTCTGGGAGTGAACTCACCTGCCACCAACTCTCCCAGAAGTTCTAGTGAGAAGGCACAGAAGAGCTGGAAGTACAGTGCCCACCCTGGCGGGAGTGAGGACCCAGGGGACAGTGGACAGTGGACAGTGAGGACACTGTGGAGTAGTGAGGACACTGGACAGGACAGTGTGGGGATGGTGAGGACCCCACAGGAAGTGTAGTTGCCAGAAAGAGCAGATGCTCAGAGTGGTGGTTTCCGGGAGTCAGTGAGGGTCTTCCAGGTGGCTCTGAGGACAGTCCAGGGTGTGAGGTTTCCCTGAAGGCAGTGACTGCGCCACACAGGCAGCTTTCAGGGTATCAGGGGTGCACTGGGGATGGTGAGGGCAGTCGGGTGGCCCAGCAGATGCTTCCAGGGCATCTGAGAGAGACGTTCTGGAGGGCAGGTGAGGAGGGAGCGAGCGTTGTGAGCTGGGGTCCCTGCAGGGGTGAGGAAGCACCTGGGGTTGCAGGGTCTCTGAATTGTGTCCTCCACCTGGCCGCCGCCTCCTGCAGGAAGGCACCTCTGACTGTTTCTCAGTCCCTGTCTCCCCGTCCCAGCCCTGGATCCAGGCTGAGCCACCAGGGCCTGGAAATCCTCTGTGGGTGTCCCAGTGAGGCTCAGGCTGCTAATGAGGGCCTGGTGGACCCAAAGAGGGGCTGATGCATTTCCCGCTATTGGGGTCCTGCTCCCGCCCTAGGTGTGGCCCCCACCTGTCTGGCCCTGTGAACAATGAAGGCTGCTTGCTGTTCACCCCATACAGGACCCTGACAAGGAGCCTCGGGCCTGAGCCCCAGCTGCCTGGCACAGGAAGGCCCCCGGCTCCTCTGACCGGGTCGGGGAGGCTGCCACTGACACGGCCTTTGTCCTGGCCTTTGTGGGACAAGACAGATGGCCCTCCGGTCAGGCTGATGCTATCTCAGGGCTGCCGGTGGGACGTGAGGCAGGAGCCACCCCCTCCTTTGTGGGCAGGTGCATGGCATCCGGCCCATTGTGGGCTGCAGTTGACTGTCTGGCCGTCCATCCAGCCTTATCACCACATCTGGGACAGCGGCCCCTTTTGTACAAATAAACTGCCACCCTACCTCCCCTAGGGAGTGTCCCAGAGCCCCTGGTGTGGGTCAGAGGTAACAGTCATTGTCAGAGCAAGGTCCGCAGGCCACCCCCTAAATTCAGCCCCAGTGTGGTACAGGAAGGGGGTGTCACCGCTACTCTCTAGAGGAGGAAACCAGATCCCAGCAGCGGGTCTCCCTGCTGGGCCCCAGAGCTTTGCCCGTGGCTGCACTGGGAGCAGAGCTGAAACCGGGCCCCCGGGACCCACTCTCCTCCTCACTGAGGCCTTTGGGCGGCAAATGCAGGGCCCAGAGAAAGTGCCTTGGGGTCCTAGGTGACCCCAAGCCAAGAGGAGGCCCCCCTGGGCCATGGGACAAGGTCCCAGCAGGAGCTGTGAGAAGTGGTGAGCAGGAGCCCAGCTCCACGGCCAGTGTCCTGCTGAGAGGGTGGGCATGAGGGCCCCGAGGGCCAGGAGATGCAGAAGACTGGAGCTTCTTTGAAAGAGGGAAAAGGCTGGCATCACAGCGTGGTCAGACTTAAGGAAGAACTTCCCACTCGGACAACGGGGCAGTGGAACCACATGGTTTCTCCAGGCTTGCCCCTCCCTTTTGCCAGTTCTCCATGATTTTGATGGGCTCCGGCCAAGGTACTGACCACAGGGGGATGCCGGCCTGGCCTCACTGGCTGACCTGGCCCAGCCTGCTTGGAGCCCCCAGTCCCAATCCTGACCCTAAGCTGACCCTCCACACACTAACCCTGGGGCCTCAGCCTCCAGAGTGTGGGGAATTGGAACAGTCCCAGTTCAGGGACCCTGAATGAGAAGTGGACACCCCTCCCCCAGCTCCAGGGCCTATGGTGCCCCTCCCTCCAGCACTGTCCTCCATCTCATGGATGACACACCTGCCCCAGGGTCCTTTCCCCACTGATAGGCTGGTCCCCTCTGGGGCCTCAGACTCCTTCCAGATGGGAACAGGTCAGGGTCCACCCAAAGCTCTGCCAACCCCTCATACCGGCAGCCCCCAGGCTGGCCGATTCAGGGCCCCCTGCCCTGCAGCCCCAGGATCCTCCGACCACAGACTGGCCCCCCCAGCTTCCCGGGGGGTAGGGGGGTGGCCAGTGGTGTGGCTCCCAGGACCCCCAGCCTTAGATCAAGGCCCAGCCCTTCCCAGGGCAGGCATGACCTTCTTGCTCTATGTCCTAACTATTCAAGGCCTCCACTCAACATGTCCTCAGCAGGGCGCATCCTGGCCCTGCCCTGCCCAGACACGTGGTGCAGGACCCTAAGGCTGCCACGGGGCTCAAACCACATCCTGGCTAGTGAGCGACGACCGAGGGGTTGCATAGAGTGAGCCCCGGCAGGACCAGATGGCGGCGCAGTTAGACAAAACCCTGACCTGCGCGGGGAGCCTCGGTGTTTTCATCCCTGAAATGGGCTGATGCCTGTGTCTCGTCCTCCCCGGGCGCGCGACCCCAGCCAGGCAGCAGAGGGCGCTCGCGACCTGCAGGAGAGCCTGTGCAGGGCTCCCGGGGCGGAGGGGCTCAGGGCGCAGAGACACCAGGCTCGCCGGGGAGCGGTGCTCAGAGCAGGACCTGCCCAGGCTGGAGGGGGCGGGCCCTGGGGTCCGCAGATCGCGGCCGTGGGGGCGGGGCGGGGAGGGAGAACGAGGGGACGCCCCCCCGCCCCACCCCCGCCGCGCGCTGACAGCCGGTCGCGGGGAAGATAAGGGACCTCTTCCGCCGGAGGGGAGTTGGGGGGGGGGGGGGCAGCCCC